CGCTTCACCTCTGTCGCGACCATATAAACACGGATTGTATAATTAACCCTTAATGCCAAAGAATCAGTTTGCAGCATAAAAAAAAAATGGAAAATGAGTTCATGGTGTTACTTGTTGACTGTAAATAAATGTCTCTCCAGTTTGATTTGTTTAGACGTCGAGACATAGTTTTGGTAGACATAGTTGTCATATTACTCTCGGCCTCAAACACAGAGTAAATTATCTTGTGCGCACAGAATAACTGTAACTAAGAAAATAACTTGTGCCACACGATTAAAAAAAAAATCACCCTATGGGACTTCGGGGGCTATTAAAGTGAGAATTTCACACGTACCGAAATAATAAAAATAACACATGCTATTAACATCCCTTCTTGTAGAATTAAAATAGGCTATACTGTATTATTAACGTCCGTTTCCAATGTTAATAATATAATTTAAATCGATCATCAAAATAATAAGTATGTACTTCAAAAGACTCGATTTCTGTTCGGTCGAGTAAAAGTCCGGGCTGTGTGTGACGATTATGTGATATCTGGTACCACCTCCATGCATGTTTGCATAACGTCATGTTCGGATTCGCTTGTGGAGTTAACGTGTTTCCGTCTCTCTAGTGGAGATCCTCCTGGTGGAGATCTGCAGCCAGACCCTTCTCCATTTTAGTGGAGCGAGGAGCGGTATTGAGCGGAGCGACTTAGTGCGAATTAGAGCGGAGGAGCGGGCGGAGCCAACAGCCTCGTGAGCGAGAGCGGAAATTCTCACCGTTCCGCTCACATGCTCTGGTATGAACCCAAGTCCATGTTTTTCATTCTTAATATTTCTTTCGTTATTGTTTGAAAAAGAATATGTAATGTCATAATCACATTGCCTAGTTAGTTATCCAGTAATAGCTTTTCTTCATTGCTTTGGCACATTTCATGAAACATACTTAACATTCTCAAGAGCATTTCTCAAAACAGTTTATGCAGACAGCAAAGCACTATGGTTTAGCTGCAAAAGCCTGTAACTTACACAAAGCAATCGACTCATGTCTCAAAAATAATTCCACCAATAACTTAGTCAGGTTTTTTCGTCAGTGCCACCAAAATGAAAAGTATAATCAGCAGCGTTTTACCCATGACAGTCAAAATGCTTATATTGTCAAAATGTCACTATACAGTGCCTTGCAAAAGTATTCAACCCCCTCGGCATTCTCTCTATTTTGTTCCCTTACAACCCGGAATTTAAATGGATTTTCAATTTGATTTTAAGTGACGGACCTACAAAAAAACTACAGATTAATGAAGTTAAGCGGGAAAAAACTTGTTTTAAATAATTCTAAAAAATATAAAACTGAAAAGTGATGCGTGCATATGTTTCCACCCCCTTTGCTTTGAAGCCCTGACCGCTACCTTCAAAAGATACTTCATTAGTTACATAAGATTCACCTGTGAGCAATGAAAGTGTCAAATGATCTCAATATATATAGACCTGTTCTGACAGCCCCCAGAGTCAACACCAGTGCAACACCACTAAGTAAGGGCTACCACCAAGCAAGCTGTGGTGTACTGGTGCCCTTTGGTAAGGTTTCGTGGAGGCGTTCAATAACGCAGCTGACATCGGTGTTTTTTTTTAGCACAAAATCAGCGTCTCCTTTTATTCGGTTCCTTTTACTATAGTTACACAGAACTTCTACCTAAAACAGAGATCACAGTGCCATCTACTGGTTAGGCATATAAGTACCTAAGGTCCATACATAACACAGGCGACAGCATGAAGACCAAGGAACTCTCCACACAGGTCAGAGACAAAGTTGTATGGATTTTTTTATAAAGAAAATACCCCAAACCCTGAACATACCAATGAGCACCGTTAAATCCATTATTAGAAGATGGAAAGATTATGGCACCACAGCAAACCTGCCAAGAGAGGTTCGTCCACCAAAACTCACAGACTGGGAAAGGAGGGCATTAATCAGGGCAGCAACCAAGAGGCTAAAGATGACCCTGAAGGAGCTGGGCGCCTCTACTGCAACTGTCCATAGGACAACTATAAGCTACACACTGCACAGAGCTTTAATCGACGAAAACCATCTGCATGTACATATGCACTGAAACATTTGGAATTTTGTGTGAAGCAATGAGAAATGATGTTCTGCTATGTACAACTGACATTATGTTGTGGGGAGTACATTTGTTGTTTTGCAAATGTTAATTGCCATTTGAAAAATGCTGCAAAGCAATCAAGAAAAACTGTAAGACACTTTAAAGCAGCCATGTTCTCTCAACATCAGAGCGATGACTGTAAGAGCAACTGTGGTTCATGATCTCAGAGACAAACTGTCAACCTGCTCATTGATGTCATTTGGTAACATCAGTTTTTGGCTAAGGATTGATTTACAGGCATTTGCACAGAACTGAATTAAGCCACACATGGAAAACTGCTGTAGAAATATGAATCATTTTAAACAAGCATTGCATCAATACATTGTACATATGGTGCCTAATCATAAAACCCTCCTACAGATATTTGTGCAGATCACTTGCTTTTGTAGTACTGGTATTTTGTAAAACAAATCTGTTAACTGTTGTCTCTCCAAGAAAATCAGCTGCTCATAAAATGTGGTATTAAGCATATGTCCTTAGAGACGACATCCTTAATGAATGTCTTACGAATTTAAACATTCTAACATTCTAAATGTTTCCATATTGTTAAAATTATTTTCTGACCCTTACCCAAGGCAGGATATCCAATGATTAAGAGCAGTCCAACAAGAATATATTTCACTACAGTCATTTTCTCTCTGGTTCGCTTTTTCTTCTATGATATATTTCACGTGAACAGTGTCTTAGTGTGTGCTGGAAGCTGCTTTTAACACTGAAGCTAAGGTGTCATTTCCTCAGGCAGTAGGATTTCATTGATGGTCTGTTTTATTACCCCTTCCTACACCCTTGTACAACAGCTCAGGATTTAGAGTTAGCAAAATTTAACTTCTGGAGCGGGTATCAGACATGGTGTGCAGTAAAATAGCTTTTACTGTAAGCATGCCAGTCACACTCACAACTCACACACTACCCACTGTGCTGGCTGTCCCAACTACTCACACACCAAACAATGGCCACACACACACCTTATTTACAACACATAATGTTGCCACTACACATGACGTTATGGTGCAATACAATAGCAACATAATAAAAGCAAACTACACACAGTTACTTACATTATTTACATGTGGCATTGGTACAGCATGACACTATGCTGCTCGATGAGGATCCCCAGTGCTACAATATTTTCTTGTAAAAGAAACCAACCAATCTAGTTGTCCACCCATTTACATTTTATATTTGTTTTTTATTTAGAAGACACTTTTGTCTAAACTGCCATACAAATGAACCAAAGAGGACATTACAAACAGACGCATTATTGAACAGGCATTAGTATCACCTCTTCCCATTAATTGAAAATGTCTGTAATTGTCAGTAGTTGTACTAAATGTGAATGAGGTGTCAGACATTTATATACATGGATCAATGTAAAAAAAAAAAGCCTATGGTCATGAGAATGTAATACGGCATAATGGTGTTCTTGCTATTGACAACATAAATGGAAATATCAGAAGGGAACAAGTTTTCAAAGACCAACAAGACTATTTTCACTTTTATTTTTTACTGTTTTCAAATGTCTTTGCACTTTATACATTTTGCATTAAATGTATGTTTCTCTATGCTGTGGCTGCACAGGCAAATGTAAAAACTAGCCTACATTTGCAGCAATTTGTTTTCCTAATGTAATCAGGGCAATCGATTGCATTGTGATCAGGGGTCTTCAAAACAACATTTATCAAATCATACAACAGTAGAAGAAATTTGAAATGAGTGTTAATTAAGGTAGTTTTGCCCCAGATAGTTACACTCTCACATTGGCCCTCGGCACAGCAAATCATCCCATCCACTCTATCTTCAGATCAGACTACTTTTTTAACATAAATTCTGGGTAATTGTCCATTTTGTAGAGCTGAGGGAATTTACTGCAGTGCCGATGTGTTATCATTCAGCACACTTTTTTAGATTCAACTTTATCATCATTGTTTAAAGTACAAGTACTTAGACAAAGAAATGCTGTTTGCTGTTTGTTAATCCTAAAGTGCAAAATAGTACAGAAGTGCTAGAAACACCAGTACCATTTATATGCACGTCAATATATGACCTTGTTTGTGATAAATGTGTTTAGTTCCTCAAATATAACATTTTGTCGCACTTCTACCTCACACTGTTCAAAATTCCTCTTTATGGTTTCTAATTTACAGTCGAGATCATCCGACTTTGTGATCTGAAAGGCATGATTTGTATATATTATGAGGATGTAGTTCATTTTAATTGACCATTTATGGTTATTTGTGGCCAGCAACTGAGCAAGATCTCCGGCTTGGGCATAAATACACTCTAACAAGATAGTTCCAAGATGTCCATAAGCCAGGTTTGATAAATTTTGTCTTTGTCTTTTTCTAAATTTTCAAAAAAAAAATTCAATCAATTTTGTTTATGTATTTATTTTTTCACAGTTAAATTTAAGTTAGAAAAATGAGACCTCAGGAATTGGTCATAAAAAGACAGGGCTCTTCTATATGGGCTGGCTTGCCAGCTCTCTTCCCCTGCTTCTGCTTCCTTTTGTTTCACTGCCTGCATGGCTTCACCAGAGCTCCCGGGAGCTATGAAATCCATAGGATCTCCGGCGGAATAAACTCTGCATAGTAAACTTTTACATGCACTTTGACTTCAGATAGCGAGGACACTTCTGTTGAAGCTGTTTTTCACTCATTATAATTGAAACGATGTTTTTTAATTGGCGAGTATGTTAGCCTAATTGATTTGCCTACTCGACATGTTGACAGGATGTCACTTGAATCTATCCTAATGGTAATATATTTGTATATACTGTGGCACTTGGCAGACCGAGGCATCACGGCGGCGGTGAAAGACAAGGTGAGTTGGTTTCACGCAAAGCTACTCTTTAACATAGTCCTTAAAAGGACCAAACACAAGCAACGACAATTCTCAGAAGAACATATAACGGGAAAGCAGGCAGGTTTCAGGGCTCACACAAGGTTGCACACACAGTGTTGGCCTTCAGCTTCCAAGCTCGCAAGCACAGGCAAGGCAGAGGAGACTGGGAGGCTGGCGGATGCTGGGCTGCTGGGGAACATCGAGCTGCTGGCAGGTGCTTCCAGGTCCCCCCTTACACGGCTTAAGGGGAACCTACTGCCCCTCCTGCTCCCCAGATTGGGTGGCCTCGCACAACTGGTCCAGGTCCCGCTAGTACTGATGGTGCTGTTCCTCTAGCTTGCAGCACTAGTTAGCCACTTGGGCCAGCAGACCACATGACTCCTTCTCCAGTTCATCCTGTAGTCGCCGCTTGGGCTCCTTCAGCTCCTGGCATGTCTGGGCCACCTGGGCCTCTAGAGCAGACCTCCCCTCCTCCAGTTCCTCCCGCTGTCACTGTTCATCCTCCTCCAGCGTGCAGCCCGTCTGGGCCAACTGGGCCTCTAAAGTGTGACGCTACCTGGAGCACATAAATCAGGGCTTTGTTAATCTGATTTCCTCTGCCAGCCGTTGGAGGATAACCCCCCCCTTTGAGTCTGGTTCCTCCTTAAGTTTCTTCCTACTTTCTGGCCACTGTCACCTCTGACTTTCTCACTGAGGGCTTTGGGCAGAGATCATGTAAAGCGCTTTGAGACAATGTAATGTGAAAATGTGCTATACAAACAAAATTGAATTGAATTGAATCTAGAGTAGCAATTTAGCAGTGTTTTAAGTTTGAAGCGATGAAGAAGATACGATAAGACTGTTTTTCATTTACTTACTAGAAAATGACTTCCGGCGCTGTCTCGGATGGCAGCCTGTCTAACATGCTCTCTGTAGTTGAAACGTTTTTTCTTTTCTTTCTTTTTCCGCTTATTTATTTCTTGTTCCAACTTAGTTTTTTTTTTAGTTTATACTTCCTGCATTGTCGTGGAATTTTTACCCGTGTTTGGACTCGAAATTGCGTGTAAAACTACTGCGATGACTGCGACGCCACGCTGCTCCTTGTCTACAGCCGAGACCAGCTGCTGGGACTCAGACAGTATAGCCATGCCAGTGTGAAGCACGAGATCCCCGCTGTGATCAAAAGAAACTACCGCGGCTGCAGAGCTGGGAAAGCACGTAGACGGAGGATGAAAAGATTCTGTCCTGCTCTCCCATCAGTAGTGACTGGTAATGTAAGATTGCTGGTTAATAAGATGGACGAGATTGCGACGCTAACAAGGACAGAGAAAGTTTTCCGAGAATGCAGCGTAATGTGTTTTACGGAGACATGGCTGCATAAAAACATCCCGGACCAGGTTGTGGATCTAAATGGATTTACGTGTGTGAGAGCGGACAGGGACCCAGGCATTAGCGAGAAAAAGAAGGGTGGAGGACTCGCTCTATATGTTAACAACCACTGGTGTTCCCCCAGTCACGTTAAGGTGAGGATGGCTGTGTGTAACAAACACATTGAACTGTTAGCGGTCGGTCTTCGACCATACTATCTACCACGAGAGTTTTCCCTCGCCATTATCATCGCCCGATGCAAACGCGGCGCAGGCTTATGACATCATCTGCTCTGCGACAGCGGACCTCCTAAATCAAAGCCCCTCTGCGTTTGTGGCTGTAACTGGTGATTTCAACCACACGAACCTCTCCATTGTGCTACCCACATTCAAGCAGTATGTGGACTGCAAAACCAGGGACAATAAAACACTGGACCTGTTTTATGCCAATGCTACCGAGGCATACACCTCCATCCCGCTCCCTCCTCTGGGCAGGGCTGATCACAACCTTGTTTACCTCCAGCCCCGGTACAAACCTGCCGTTCAGAGACAATCTGCAACCAAAAAAACAGTTTCAATATGGTCAAGTGAGTCGGAAGAGTGTCTGCAGGGATGCTTTGAGTCAACGGACTGGGATGTTCTCTGTGACTCTCATCAAGACAATATTGACAATCTTACAGGCTGTGTTACTGACTACATTAACTTCTGTGTGGACACTGTTGTTCCCAGAAAAACCTTTCTGTGCTTCCCCAACAATAAACCCTGGGTCACCAAAAACATCAAAGCGACTCTGAACAGGAAAAAAAAGGGCTTTCAGAACCGGTGATAAAGATATGTTGAAACTGGTGCAGAAGGAGCTGAAAGCTGAGATAGCAGAGGGAAAAGAGTCCTACAGAAGGAGCTGAAAGCTGAGATAGCAGAGGGAAAAGAGTCCTACAGAAGGAGGCTGGAAAACAAACTGCAGAAAAACAACACCAGGGAGGTGTGGAATGGAATGCGGGCCATTACTGGCCTGAGACAAAAGAGCGGTGTTGGGATGGATGGGGTCCCTGCGTCTCCTATCTCCACACCCAGCTTGTCTCGTTTTCTCCACTCTCCTCCCCCCTCTCCTGCCCCCTCAGCCTGTCTCAGCCTGTCCCTTTCAGAACATGACATCAAAAGGGAATTGGGTAGACTCCACTCCAGTAAAGCTGCTGGCCCTGATGGTGTCAGTCCCAGGGCCCTCAAATGCTGTGCTTCTCAGCTGTCGGGCATTCTTCATCGGATCTTCAACATGAGTCTGACACTGCAGAGGGTCCCATCACTCTGGAAGACATCCTGTCTGGTTCCTGTACCCAAAAAGAACAACCCGTCGATCCCCAGTGACTACAGGCCAGTGGCTCTGACTTCACATGTCATGAAAACGCTGGAGAGACTCATCCTGAAGCATCTGCGTCTGCTGGTGGAGCCTTGGCTGGACCCACTGCAGTTTGCTTATCAACCCCGTATCGGTGTGGAGGATGCCATCATCTACCTGCTGGACCAGACTTATTCTCACCTGGACATTGTTGGGAGCACAGTGAGAGTCATGTTCTTTGACTTCTCTAGTGCTTTTAATACAATCAGACCATCACTGCTGGGGAATAAGCTCATGGAAATGCAGGTGGACGCCCCACTAGTAGCTTGGATCACAGACTATTTAACAAGTCGTCCACAGCACGTCCGGCGGAAGAGCTGCCGCTCTGACAACATCTTGAGCAGCACGGGGGCACCACAGGGGACGGTCCTATCACCCTTCCTCTTCACTCTCTACACCTCTGACTTCAGCTACAAGTCCCAGTCATGTCATCTGCAGAAATTCTCTGATGACTCTGCCATTGTGGGCTGTATCAGGGATGGTCAGGAGGAGGAGTACAGGGGTGTGGTGGACTACAGCTCAACATCACAAAGACAAAGGAACTGGTCATAGACTTCAGGAAGCATCCTTCTCCTCC